GGAGGAGGTGAGGTGGGTGTGGGAGGGGAGGAGGTGAGGTGGGTGTGGGAGGGGAGGAGGAGGGGAGGTCTGAGATGGTGGAAGGACAGGGAGGGCTGGGTTGAAGAGCACAGCTCTAGCCAGGAAGGGGTGGTTGGTGTCTATGCCAGAGTGGAGGGTCTATGACTGGTTTCTGTGGCTGGTGGACATCCTCTCTGGGTTGGGGTCTGCATCTTGTGTTGTGGTGGGTCTGATGGTTCTCCCCTGCAGCAGTAGGGGGCTCACTGTGTGTGGTCAGGTGGTCTGAAGTGGACTGAGAGCCCAGGCTGAGGGTTGGGGTAGGGGCTCGCTCAGCTGGAGTTGGTGGGCTGGCCCATGGCTTAGGGGCCAACTGTGTGATGGATGGTAGCCAGTTGTGTGGGCCCCCCTGCAAGGAGACAGGTGGGTGTCCCCTCTCATCAGAACAGCCCCTGTGAGGGGTGTCCTGCCTGTGTCCCTGGGGCCCCACCTCCAGAAGGTGCCTGTGTTGCCAGCTTGGTATGTGTGGCCTGTTTCTTGTCTACAAACTGCAGCATCCAATGGTCTGTGTGTCCATCTGACCTTCCATAATCCTGACCCCCAATTCACAAAAGTCTTGGGTCCTGAGACAGCCATGGAGGTTCCATGTCCGTGCTGCACATGTCTGTGAGTTGTACAGGGTTCCCCCATGAAGTGGTGGAACAGGCCTGAGACTCTCAGCGATGGGGAATCAGGACCAGGCCTGGCCATAGTGAGGTATGGCTGGCAGTCTGGTGACAGGTCAGGGGGTCCGGGATTCAGGGGCTCGGGTCTTCAGGGGCCCTCCTGAGGTCCTGGCCCCTCCTGAAGGGCAAGTAGATGGACAGAGACAGGACAGGGCCACCCCTATGTCCTAGGAAGGTCCAAGGAGCAACATCGATGAAGGAGCACAGGGGCAGGGTGAGCCTCAGAAAGAGCAGAGAGAAGGGCACCTCTGCAGGTGTGATGGCTGCCAGTCATGGGCCTCCAGACCCACCCATGAGACAAGGTGGACAGTGAAGAAGAGGATTCTGGAGGCTGGGCAGGGCCATCATGTGCACGATGTTCAGACCTTGGGGGAGAAGCCACCACCATGACTCCTCAAGCTGCATGGACAGAGCGCAGCACCTCCAGCAGGGACGCACTGTGCCCTGTGCTAGTCAGACTTCCCGGGAGACCAAAGGAGCACGGGCTCCGAGGGCTTCACTCAGCCAACAGCCAGAGTACAAGACCTGCGGTGTCAAGCTCCAGGTGGCTCCAGAGAGCTGCTTCTAGAAGTGTGGGGGTTCTAAGGACACCTGTACCAGGGCAACAAGCTCACGGACCTTCCTGGCCGGGGTGTTCCTTACTCTGGTCTGTCCAGCTCTGGCCTCAGGAGCTACAGGAGGTGATGAGGAGTAAGCGCTGATGCAAACTCGTGGGGGAGATTTAGGCAGCCCTTTTCATGCCTCCTCCAGCCATACCTGTAAGGGTCGCAAATTGCTAAAAAATAGGGAGCCATGGAGGGGGCCATGGCCATGGTGTTGTTATCTGAGCAGCCTGGCGTGTCGAGTGAGGGAAGGGGCCAGGAGTCTTGACTCTGACCTCAAAGTCTGAGGCAGGACAAGGAACAGAAGGTTCCAGATTACATCCTTCTGGTCACTATCTCTGTCCATTGAAACTATGGCCATTTCCCTGTGTCTGTCCTGCTGAGAGGTCCTCACTGAGAGTCCAGCTCCTTCTTCTCGTCACTGGCCTTCACCTCGATAGGCACCACTTCCCACCACTGTCTCCATGTGTTCATGAATCCTCGTTTGCTCCAGAGTGTGTTTCATTGTCAAGTGTCCATGTCTTGCCCAAACCCCCAAGTAACCCAGGCAAACTGATGTTTTCTGGGTCCTTCTGACCTCCCTAGCCCTGCCTGCGAAGTTCACAAAGGGTCTGAGGAATGAGGAGGCCACTGAAGGGGCAACGGCCACACTGCGCTGCGAGCTGAGCAAGGAGGCGCCTGTGCAATGGAGGAAGGGGCTCGAGACCCTCAGAGCTGGGGACAGAGTCAGCCTGAGGCAGGACGGGGTCCTGTGTGAGCTGGAGATCCGAGGTCTGGCTGTGGCAGATGCCGGGGAGTACTCCTGCGTGTGCGGGCAGGAGAGCACATCGGCCACACTGACCATCAAGGGTAACAACAACTGTGGCCAAGCAGAGCCCTGTTTTGGTGTCCGGTTACTTGTTTCATGACATCTGCCTGCACTCATTCCATGTTGTCTGCTGTCTCAGTGTCATTCTCTTCCCATAATTCCACAGAATCCCTTCCACCTTCCTGGCTGTTGTGCAAACCATGAGAAACCAGCATCTAGGCCACTTCTCATCCCTCATGTCACTGATGGTTTTGTTCTGTTTCCTGTCAGAGTCTGTGTCACATCGTCCATCCAGTCATGTCCTGCCCCAAATTTCCCCACAGAATCTGTCTCATGTCTTTCCAGCCCTCCGGGCCCTGTCCACCAGTTTCATACAAAGCCTCAGGCCTGAGGTGTCCATGAAAGTGGCACAGCCCTGCTGTTCACAGGCCGGCTGAGGGATGCTACCATGCACAATGTGACTGGGCACACCCAGCATGTGGCCCGGGTCCACATGGGTTTTATGTCTCCTCTGTGCTGTCCATGTCTTGTCTTATCCATGAGCTCATATGTGTGACTGCCCATATCTTTCTGACTCCCAGCCCTGCCCGCCAAGTTCACAAAGGGTCTGAGGAAGGAAGAGGCCACAGAAGGGGCCATGGTAACGCTGCGCTGTGAGCTGAGCAAGGCGGCCCCTGTGGAGTGGAAGAAGGGGCTCAAGACCCTCAGAGCTGAGGACAGAGTCAGCCTGAGGCAGGACGGGGCCGTGTGTGAGCTGGAGATCCATGGCCTGGTGGTGGCGGATGCCGGGGAGTACTCGTGCGTGTGCGGGCAGGAGAACACGTCGGCCACACTGACCGTCAGGGGTAAAGACCATGTGTGGCCATGTGGGCCAATAGCTTGGTGTCTGCAGAGACCACCTTCTGCTCTGTAGGGCTATGTGGCTGGGTCTCTCCTTGAGCATCTCCCCGCTGTGGCTGCGGCCAATTTCATGTCCTGATATTTGTGTCCAGTCCTTTGTCTCCTCTGTTCCTCTCCTCAGTTTGCCTCTGTCACCATCTGTGCATTCATTCTCATTCACACCGTGGCCCTTTGCAGTTTGTGTGGTCCTTGTGGGTGTCCTTGTCCTGGACACAGAGTCCCACAGACAGTCTTAAGTTCTCTGTGTCACTGTGACTCCCCACAGCCCTGCCCGCGAAGTTCACAAAGAGTCTGAGGAAGGAAGAGGCCATGGAAGGGGCCACAGCCACACTGCGCTGCGAGCTGAGCAATGCGGCCCCTGTGGAGTGGAGGAAGGGGCTCGAGACCCTCAGAGCTGGGGACAGAGTCAGCCTGAGGCAGGACGGGGCTGTGTGTGAGCTGGAGATCCGGGAACTGGTTGTGGCGGATGCCGGGGAGTACTCGTGTGTGTGCGGGCAGGAGAGCACGTCGGCCACATTGATCATCAAGGGTAAAGTCTGCATATGGCCTCAGGGACCAGTGGCTTGGTGTCTTCACATTTCTACTCTGTCAACACCTGCTCCGTTTTAGCATCCATGGGTTTATGTCTCCAGCTTGGGTCCCCGAGTCTCCCAGCTTCATCTCTCTGTCCAGAAGTCCTGATGTCCATGTCTAGTCCTTGTGTCTACTGTTCCTCTCGTTCCATTTGCCTTTGTCACCATCTGTGCATTTGTTCTCAAGTTCATGCCATGGCCAATAGCAGTTTGTGTGGTCCTTGTGAATGTCCTTGTCCTGGACACACAGTCCCACGGACAATCTGAAGTTCTCTGTGTCACTCTAACCCTCCCCAGCTCAGCCTGTGAAGTTCACAAAGAGCCTGAGTGATGAGGAGGCCACTGAAGGGGCCACAGCCATGCTGCTGTGCAAGCTGAGCAAGGGGGCCCCTGTGGAGTGGAGGAAGGGGCTCGAGACCCTCAGAGCTGGGGACAGAGTCAGCCTGAGGCAGGACAGGGACCTGTGTGAGCTGGAGATTCGGGAACTGGTTGTAGCAGATGCCGGGGAGTACTTGTGTGTGTGTGGGCAAGAGAGCACGTCGGCCACACTGACCGTCAGGGGTAAAGACCATGTGTGGCCAAGCAGAGCCGTGCTTTGGTTTCAGTTACTAGCTTCATGACATCTGCCTGCGCTCATTCCATGTTCTCTGCTGTCTCATTGTCATTCTCTTCCCATAATTCCACAGAATCCCTTCCACCTTCCTGGCTGTTGTGCAAACCATGAGAAACCAGCATCTAGGCCACTTCTCATTCCTCATGTCACCACTGGTTTTGTTCTGTTTCCTGTCAGAGTCTGTGTCACCTCGTCCATCCAGTCATGTCCTGCCCCAAATTTCCCCACAGAATCTGTTTCATGTCTTTCCAGCCCTCCGAGCCCTGTCCACCAGTTTCATACAAAGCCTCAGGCCTGAGGTGTCCATGAAAGTGGCACAGCCCTGCTGTTCACAGGCCGGCTGAGGGATGCTACCATGCACAATGTGACTGGGCACACCCAGCATGTGGCCCGGGTCCACATGGGTTTTATGTCTCCTCTGTGCTGTCCATGTCTTGTCTTATCCATGAGCTCATATGTGTGACTGTGCCCATATCTTTCTGACTCTTAGCCCTGCCCGCCAAGTTCACAAAGGGTCTGAGGAAGGAAGAGGCCACAGAAGGGGCCATGGTAACGCTGCGCTGTGAGCTGAGCAAGGCGGCCCCTGTGGAGTGGAGGAAGGGGCTCAAGACCCTCAGAGCTGAGGACAGAGTCAGCCTGAGGCAGGACGGGGCCGTGTGTGAGCTGGAGATCCATGGCCTCGTGGTGGCGGATGCCGGGGAGTACTCGTGTGTGTGCGGGCAGGAGAGCACGTCGGCCACACTGACTGTCAGGGGTAAAGACCATGTGTGGCCATGTGAGCCAATAGCTTGGTGTCTGCAGAGACCACCTTCTGCTCTGTAGGGCTATGTGGCTGGGTCTCTCCTTGAGCATCTCCCCGCTGTGGCTGCGGCCAATTTCATGTCCTGATATTTGTGTCCAGTCCTTTGTCTCCTCTGTTCCTCTCCTCAGTTTGCCTCTGTCACCATCTGTGCATTCATTCTCATTCACACCGTGGCCCTTTGCAGTTTGTGTGGTCCTTGTGGGTGTCCTTGTCCTGGACACAGAGTCCCACAGACAGTCTTAAGTTCTCTGTGTCACTGTGACTCCCCACAGCCCTGCCCGCGAAGTTCACAAAGAGTCTGAGGAAGGAAGAGGCCATGGAAGGGGCCACAGCCACACTGCGCTGCGAGCTGAGCAAGGCAGCCCCTGTGGAGTGGAGGAAGGGGCTCAAGACCCTCAGAGCTGGGGACAGAGTCAGCCTGAGGCAGGACGGGGCCGTGTGTGAGCTGGAAATTTGTGGCCTGATGGTGGCGGATGCCGGGGAGTACTCGTGTGTGTGCGGGCAGGAGAGCACATCGGCCACACTGACCATCAAGGGTAAAGATTGCCTGTGGCCACATGGACTCATTTGGGTGCCATGGCCCTCTCCTTGTCTCTTGCATCCACACTGGGTACCCATGGGCACTCCCTCCTCTCTGCCTTGAACAATTTCCCTCTGTCTGCTTTCTGCTTGCCTATCACTGTGTTGTCCAGTGTCCTGGTATCTAGGTACTGATCTCCATCCAAATGACTTCACTTGATCAGTTCTCATGGTAAAGACAGAATTCCAGCTTGTCCTTCTTCCTATCCTAATCTGTGTATTTTTTCCCCTTTCTAGCCTCTAGTCAGGATCTGAGGGATGGCCCTGTCTTAGGGGTCCGAGGGGACGCCCTGGCCCTGATTGCCTGATGGGACACAGCCCTGCCCATGGGCATCCTAAGTGGAGGCTGGCATGAGATTTGCCTGGTTAGATCCAGAGCTCCTCCCAAAGCTCCCACCATGGACCCTCCTTTCCCTTGAAGTGGACCCAGACCCATGATGCCCATTCCTACCCCAGTCTCCTGGGACCTGTGGCAATGAGTCCATCGGGCATCCAGACAGCTGGGGTGAAGCTGAGAGCCATGCCTGACCTAGGTTCTCAGCGAGGTTGACTGGTGTAGGGGGCCTGTCTCCTGAGTAGGTGTGTGTGGGGCTTGTCTCCTGGCTGGGTCTCTAGACTGACCCTGTCTCCCCTCTGCCCACCCACCCCACAGCCCCGCCGTTGGTATTCAGGGAGCCTTTGCAGAGCCTGCAGGCTGAGGAAGGCACAGAGGCCAGGCTGCGATGTAAGCTGTCTGAGCCCAGGGCTGTGGTCTGGAGCAAGGGTGGCCTGGAGCTGCAGGCCGACGAGCGCCGGGAGCCACGGCAGCAGGGCTGCATGGTGGAGCTGGTGCTGCGGGACCTGCGCTGGGAAGATGCGGGCGAGTACACCTGCACCTGTGGCTCCCAGGCCACCAGCGCCACTGTCACTGTCACAGGTGGGCCCCAAGGTGGCCTCTGCCCTCTGCACAGGCCGTGCATGCTTTGGGGGGCCCTCTGGGCTGCAGTCTGTACTGGAGTCCAATCTGAGGGGACCCTGGCTCGGGCAGGGCTGGTGGGTGGACCTGACCAGATGTTCGGTTGACTCTACGTCCCCCCTCCCCACAGCTGCACCCGTGCGGTTCCTCCGGGAACTGCAGGCCCAGGAGGTGGATGAGGGTGGGACGGCACGCCTGTGCTGTGAGCTGAGCCGGGCGGGCACCAGTGTGGAGTGGCGCAAGGGCTTGCTGCAGCTCTTCCCCTGCGCCAAGTACCAGATGGTTCAGGAAGGCATGACTGTGGAGCTGCTGGTGCACGGTGCAGACCAGGAGGATGCTGGACACTACACCTGTGACACAGGCCACGCACAGAGCACTGCCAGACTCTCAGTTCGCGGTGAGCTGCCCGCGGGTCCCTGCCTTCCCAGGGCCCCTCAGACCCTGTGGAGTGGAGGGTGGGGTGCGTTGCTCAGCACTTCTAAGTCACCCTCTGGCCCCCCAGCCCCCAGGCCCATGTTCCAGACTGAGCTGCAGGACGCAGAGCAGGAGGTGGGCAGCCTGGCCCGGCTGTGCTGCCAGCTGAGTGAGGTGGAGCCTGGGGCCCCTGTGCAGTGGCTCAAGGAGGGTGTGGAGCTGCACACTGGCTCCAAGTACGAGATGCATCACCGGGGGGCCATGTGTGAACTGCTGATCCACGGGCTCGAGGCCAAGGACGCGGGCCAGTATGCCTGCGTGGTGGGTGGCCAGAAAACCATGGCCTCTGTCAAGGTCAGAGGTGAGCCCTTCCCTAATAGCTGCCCTGTGACCCCCTCCCTCCAGGTGCTGTTCCAGGGGTGGCTCTCAGGCCCCTGGGGTTACAAGCTCTCTCTTCTCATTTCGGCATCACTCCCCTGTCGACAGTGGGAAAAAGGGAGGCTGTGGCCCCTGGGTGCTGCCCTGCCTCCTGCCCCTAGCCGGCAGGTAGGGCAGCCTGACTTGGGCTGTCCTCTCTGAGCCCCTGCCTGTCTGTCTGAAGGTCTTGCTTTCCTGATGTCCCAGCCAGGGCAGGACTGGCCGTGGGGTGGGGATGGAAAGAGGCAGCTCCCCACTCTGTAGCCCCTTGCCTACTTCCTCCCAACAGAGATGCTTGAGCCCATCTTTGCCCCTAGGGGGTCTCTGTAGCAAATGAGGTGATGGATACTATGTGAGGCAGATAGAGGCCATGACAGGACAGGCGTGTGAGAGTATCCGGGAAGGCTTCCTGGAGGAGGGAGAGTTAAAGGTTCACCTGGGTGCTCAGGCCTGACTGGTAAAGGGTCCCATCACCCACACCCCCGAGCCTGAGGTAACCATTGTGTGAGGCCTGGTTGACATGGAGGTGCAGACTGACAGGGAGGTGGATTTCAGCTGTGAGGTGTCGAAGGCAAGGGCCACAGCTGCCCAGGGGTGCCTCCAGGGCCTGCCACTGCAAAGCAGCAAGGTGGCAAAGGTGGTTGTGCAGGGCGACCACACCCACATGCTGCAGCTGAAGGGTGTGACATGAAGATGCAAGCACAGTCTTCTTCCACGTGGGCCTCTACAAGTCCTCAGCCCAGCTCACTGTCCATGGGAGTGGGTGAGGGTGGCTGCCCCTCTCAGCACACTCGGAGCCAAAATGTCCACACCCTGTTGGGAGACAGAGGCAGACTGCAAGGGTCCCTGCTTTGGGGACTGAGAACTAGCCCCATGCATGGGTGGTTCTGAGGTGGCCCAAGATGCCAGGGTTGAGTGGTACCCTGTGTGCTTATCTATAGAAATTGGGGTGGGGTGCTGGGGGCAGACTCCAGAACTGGGAGGTGCTCCTGACAGTGGAGCATCCCAGCTGCTGAGGCTGATGCCACACTTCCCTTGGTGCAGCCCCCCAGGTGACCATTCTGGAGCCCCTGAAGGATGTGCAGCTCAGTGAGGGCCAGGATGCCCATTTCCGATGCCGGCTGTCCAGGGCCTCTGGCCAGGAGGCTCGCTGGGCCTTGGGAGGAGTGCCTCTGCAGGCCAACGAAATGAATGACATTACAGTGGAGCAAGGCACACTCCACTCGCTCACTCTCCACAAGGTGGGACCCTGGGACCTGCCTCCATCCACATGCTCCCAGGAGTGTGGGAGGAGAAGATTCCAACTCCCATTGGATTGGCCTGGGGAGCTGTCAGGAGACATGGTATGAACAGGCTGCCAGGCTGAGACCCCATCTCCGCTCCCACAGGTGACCCTCGAGGATGCAGGAACCATCAGTTTCCAGGTGGGCTCATGTAGCTCAGAGGCCCAGCTGAAGGTCACAGGTGGGCAGCCCCCTCCCACACCTGTCAAGGTGATGTCTCCATATCCCTCCCTAGTCAAAGAGCTGTTGAGGGGTGGTGTGGTCAGAAACCCAGGTCTTCCAGCAGTTATTTTGCCTTGGGGTGGCAATTTTCCAACCCCTGACTGCTAACGCCATGAACTGGATAGCCCACTGAGGTGGGCTGGTGAAGATCAGCTTGGGAGATTCTGGTGTGCATGTGGGGTCCCTGTGTGGGGGTTAGTGCTGTCTGCAGGAGGGAGGTGGGGAGCCTGGCCATGGGAGCAAGGGGTTGGGCCCTAAGGTGGAAGCCCTCTGTATGGCTACTCTTATGGCACAGGTCATCTTAACACACATGTGCATACTTGACAGTCTCCCAGGTGATGGTGCAATAGCATACCTGTGATACGTGTACAGTTTTGGGTATAGTGTAGTTGGCCTCAGGCATGCAAACAGGATTTCAAGAACCTTCAACTTAGATTATACCTTGTCTGAAGAGCTGGTTATTCTTGAGTGTCCCTCACCTGCTGTTCTACTCCTGGTTCTCACACCAGTCCCATCCATCTAACCAACTATCCACTATCCATCACCATTCATCCCTCATCCACCCACCCACCATCCATTCATCCACCATACTTCATAATCCATCCATCCATCTATCCATCATCCATTCATCCATCACATAGCTACCATTCACTATCCACACTCTATCCATCCATCCATCATTAGCATCCCATTCACCATCCACCATCTATCCATCCATCCACCATTAATTTCTATCTTCCATCCATCCACCATCCATCTACCATTTACCTATCATCCACCATCCATCCACCCACCAACATCCATCCATCAATCAATTCATCTATTCAACCATTTATCCATCCACTTATAAATCATCCATCTACCCAACCATTCATCTGTTCACCTATCAACTCATCCATTCACCATCTACCGTCCATTGAACAAACCTTCTAAGCCTCTACTCTTGTGTAAGTCTCAGATCTTCAGAGGGGCCAGGTGCAGCTCTGCCATCATGGAGCCCCCAGTCCACTGGGATAATTGGACATTAGAGACAAAGCATGTCCTGGGTCTTCAGGGGTGAACAGATATGGCGAGTTCTGTGGCCTCTGGTGCTGGGAAAGACTCTGTGGTCTCTGGGATTGGGAAAGGCCTCAAGTTGAATGGTGGGAGATGGGCAGTGTCCTAGGTATCATGATCTGGCTGGGCCAGAAAAGGCTTTGTGTGTTCATCAGGGTGGTTGGTTGTGAGGGAGGACATGGAGCTGGGTTGGGACTTATGCAGGGTTGTGTCTTGACCCCTGTCAGCCAAGTCCCAGCCTGTGCCAACTGACCTGTGTACAGACACCTGGCCATGTCCTTGGGGGAGGGAAATGGCATGGGGTGTCCTGATAGGTGTTATATGGACCAGCTTAGGTACAGTGCTGGAAGTGGGAATGGGGAGCTGGTGGAGCAGTCAGGGACTGTCAGATGTGCACTCTCAGAAGAGGGTTGGGGCAGGTGGAGGGCTGGGGCTGGAGTTTTGGTGGTGCATGCCCAGGAAGGGCTTGGGGAGGTTTCTGAGGAAGGCCTAGCTGGGGCAGGTGTGGGAACACAGATCAGGCAGCAGCCGGGTTGGGGAAGCCCCTGTGCTAGGGCCTGCTGTGTGCTGGGGCAAAAGTAGTTGCCATGGGCATTAGGGCCCTAGAATTTTAGGTTTGGGGACCACAGGTGACATCTGGCCATATGGCCTTCTGGGAATAGAAGAAGCATCTGCTTCCACACCTGCAGGGATGGAAGGCCTACTACCTGAGGCAGACCCCCCCCCCCTCTCAGAGTGGCAGCCCCACAGCCTCTTCTCCCCACCCACCTCGTAGCCATGGGGCTTGGGACTTGTTCATTCTGATTGCTGAGGAGGCTGTTGGATACATGCCTTCTGTGTATTTTTGTGAAACCAGGTGTATTCTGGAGAGGGTGTGAGTGCAGGGACACTGAGCCCACTCTCTGTGAGTGTTTGAATGTATCATTCCATGAGCAGGGTGGGATAGCTGGCCCGAGTTGATCTCTAAACCCCAGTGCCAGGGATCCCCAAAATGGTATACCCCCCACATAGTCCTGTGGGCCCAGGGCACCCCAGCCTGCCCTCCTATTGCCCTCTTGTGCAGAGGCAGCACCATGCCTGGTACGTGGCTTGCAGAATGTGGACGTCTTTGCGGGGGATGTGGCCACGTTCTCCTGTGAGGTGTCCTGTGCGGGTGGGCCCGAGCCCTGCTGGTGGCTGGATGGGACTCTGCTGCAGGACAGCCCCCAGAGTGCCATCTGCGTGCATGATGGGACGGTTCATTCCCTCACGCTGTCGGGCCTGGGGGTTGCTGACTCAGGCACCGTCACCTACCGTGCAGGGCCCCTGGTCTCCACGGCCAAGTTGTTGGTCAAAGGTACCAGCCGATGGGACCCCGCCTGCACTAATGCTTCTGCCATCGCTGCTCCCGCAAGCTTCCTGCAGGCTCCGGGGCAGGGGGTTGGGGACTGGCATTGCTCCACACATGCCATGTGTGGACACTCAGGCAGGCTGCAGTCCTGCTTCCTGGATGAGAAAGAATGCTTGGCTCAGAGCATGAAGCTGAAGGCCAACTTCATGCCCACCTGCTCGTGGGATCCTGAGAGTTGGTGCCACCTGGTCGCCACTCTGCGGCTGCACCTATCTCAGGCCTATACCCAGAGGGCAGCCTTCCCACCTTGCCCCAGCCTGCCCTATCCCTGCTCGTGGCTGCTTACACCGCTGTGGTTTGGGTTGGGGGTCTTTTCTCTTTGGGGACAGAGCTAGCCATTGGGGATGGCAGTGGGCAGCCAGGAACCCCTCAGTCCACACCCAGTCGGGTGCTCCTGGGACAGCCGCTTGGTGTGGTTTCACCTGGCGTGTTTGCAGATGGGTCTTCTCTGCACTGTTGAAGAGTAAATTGACATCCCCCCCCCCCCCCCTGGTCCAAGGAGCAAACCATTTTTTGAGTAGGATTTTTCCAGGTGGAGATGGGATGGCGCCCCCTGGAGGGGTGGAGAAGCCCCTAAAAAAGGGACAAACTGGGCTGGGGGTGCTGCGTGCCCAGCAGATGCTGAGGGCCCCTGAACTTTTAGGAGGAGGCATTGTGTCCCTGTTGGTGCCCCATGCTCCCCAGGCTCAGGGAGGAAAGGGCTCAGGAGGTCAGAGGGGCCAGGAGGGGACAAGTGGATGGAGGCCGCCTGCCATGGGTGGGGTGTGTAGGGGCAAGGCTTGCACTATGTGGAGGGTCCTGGGCCACCATGGCCAGTTCCTTTCCTGCCAAAGCCCCTCGCTTGCTTGCTGATGAACTGCTGCTGCTACCGCAGAGGGCGGGTAGGCGCTGGTCCCACGGCTCAGGCTTACACGTGCCCGGCGTGTTGGCCGACAGATCCCGCAGTGGAGGTGGTCAGTGCCATGCAAGACCTGGCGGTGGAGGAGGGTGGCCCGGCCGAGCTCCTCTGCCAGTACTCACGGCCAGTGCAGGCCACGTGGAAGATGGACGAGCAGGAGGTGCGCGCCGACGGGCGTCGCGTCATCATAGAGCAGGACTGGACCGTGGCCAGGCTGTCCTTCAGGCCAGCCTTGCCCTGCGACAGTGGCATCTATTCTTGTGAGGCTGCGGGCACCCGAGTGGTGGCTCTGCTGCAAGTGCAAGGTGAGGCCGCCCAGCAGGCAGCCCAGGCCTAGCAGGCTTCGGCATGGCCAGCCAAGACGCAATGGTGGAGCATCGGGCAGGGGCAGCCAGCAGAGCGTGACCGTGCCAGTACTAGAAAGATGGGATCTGAGCAGTAGGTCCTGCTGAAGCTGGCTGGGCCCTGAGCCCACCCATCCAGACCCCACCCCTCCTAAAGCAGCCTGATAACACAGGGTGGCTGGACAGACCCTGGGCAGAGACTACCCCTAAAAGAATCTGCATCCAAAACACTGGGGAGGTAGAGGCAGGCAAGGAAGCAGCCTCCGGGCGGGTGAGCAAGCAGGCCTGGGGCCGCAGGACCCTCCGCAGGGCTCTACGTGGGGCTCTGCCCCCACATCCTGGGCTCAGATCCCAGCTCTGCCCCCTCCCAGGCTGTTGCTTGGATGGTGCACCAAGCCCCATGACCGTGAAAGGATATGCTGTTGGGGAACCAGGAGCAGGGGACAGTGGGCTGCCCCACTGTGTGGAAGGGAGCATTGTTTGGCTGAAGCCACTGGATCTTTGGGAAAATCTGGACTGTCCCTGGTGTTGAGTGAGCTGGAGAGTGGAGACAGTTGTCGGGGCCATCCAAGCTGGGTAGCAGGTGTGAGCAGGTGAGACCAGTCTCCCACAGGCCACGCGAGGTCTCCCCCTCCGCACCCCCTCCCCGCCACCCCATTCCCTCACTAGTTCAACAACTAAATTTTATAAACACCTTTTTTGGGGGCACCTGCAAGCACATCAGGGAGCAGACAAAACTCCCTCCATTCACGGCAGCACCCCTGACATCCTCATTGGAAATGTGATTGGAGCAGTGTGTCCCCAGCCTGGGGGGGTGGGTCTGGGGCTCATGGACATCTGGGTAGAGGCTTCAGCCACAGGCTGGAGAAGGAGCAGAGTAAGGAAGTGGGGACAGTAGGCGCTAGGGGGCTTGCTGCTGCTTTAAAATCTGGGGGTTTATCAAACACAATGGTGACATCCTTGGGTGTTGGTAAGGGTGAGCTCCAGCAGTGACTCCACTGCCTCCCCCTTGTTCCCCAGCCCTCCTGTCTCAGTCAGCTGGCCCTGATCATGCCATCCAGCAGAATGGAGTGACGCCTAAGTCCCTGTCAGCTCTAACGGGAGGAGAGGGGCTGGGCCAAGGGGGAGTCTACTCTGTTGTGGGGAAGCAGTGGGAGAGGGATGTGGGTAGCCCAGCAGGTCCTCTGTTTTGAAACACCCTCCCCACTTCATTTCCTGGGCCCCTGTCCACAGCAGACACCCCTGTCTATGGCATGGGCCTGGCCTCTAACCCATCTGGGAGGGTACATCCTGGCTGTGTGTGGGTTCCGTCTGGGGCACGTACCCAGACAGCAGTTGGGGCTGTGGGCTCGGACCACCAGCTCAGTGACTGCAGTGGCTCCTTGCTGTCATGTGGGTCAAACTCAGACCGTTCCTAGCATCCAGGCCACCCTGGTCACCTGGAGCTCCTCTCCTGCCTGATCTCACCACCTGGCCCCTTGCACCCTTCACCCCGCTGGCCTGACTCCGCGCTGTCCCCATGCATCCCTCCTTCATCCCCATTGCAGTGTCCCCTCTTGTCACTCCTCTTGGTGGAGCCTGTCCTGAAAACGGTGCTGGAGGTGGCAAGCCTCACAGTCAGGCACTGAGTTCATGGCCTCCATGGAAAACGCATGGCCATTTATTATAGACTCTCGGACTTTTTAGGAGAGAACCAGAGAGGGCTGGGGAATATGGGCAGAGGTCTCTCTGGTCCCAGCGAGTGAGAGTAGCAGCCCAGCAGGTCTGATAGCACTGGCCTGGAGACAGAGGGAAGGGGGACAAGTAGAGCCCCACCAGCAGCCAGGGCAAGGGTGGCAGCACCTGTGAGGCTTCTCACCTGTGAGGTGGGGAAGACCCCCATCCAGACTCTAGTGTGGTGATGAGGTGGGCAGGGCCTTGGGAGGACATGCATGAAGGCTCCACGTGGACATCACTGGTCTCCCTCCTGGTGGCCCGCTGTTTGGCCCTATGTCATGGGGGGCATTTCTGTGCGGCCTGGGCAGTAAGGGCTCCCAAGCCCTGAGTCACCCCTCCATCCCCCAGCCAAGAATACAGTGGTGCGTGGCCTGGAAAACGTAGAGGTGCCCGAGGGGGGCGAAGCGCTGTTCGAGTGCCAGCTGTCCCGGCCAGAGGTGGCTGCGCACACCTGGCTGCTGGATGACCAGCCCGTGCTCAGCTCAGAGAACGCCGAGGTGGTCTACTTCGAGAATGGTCTGCGGCACCTGCTGCTGCTCAAAAACCTGCGGCCTCAGGACAGCTGCCGGGTGACCTTCCTGGCTGGGGATGTGGTGACCTCAGCGTTCCTCACTGTCAGAGGTGGGTGTGCGGGTGGGAGTCTCTGCCACCGCTGCCACTGGATACTCTGCTGAAGGGGTGAGGAGGGGTTGAGCTGGGCCTGCACGTTGGGCAGGTCCCTCAGACCCTTCCCACTATGGGGTAGGGGTGTGGCCATGGGTCTCTGAGAACCCTTCCCACCAGATGCCAGGGTGCAAGGAGAACTGGTGGCCACGGGGGCGTGGGTCTCTCAGACCCCTTCCACCCGATACTGCCTTTATAGGGGGAGGGCGGGCAGAGTGGGGAGGGCTGTTAAGGGGGGCTGTTGGTCTCTGAGGCTCCATCCCACCTGAAGCTTGGAATTTGGAGAACAATGATCTCAGAGATCAGATCTCTAAGACCCCTCCCACCCGAGCTGGGCCACCGACTTGGCTCAGAGGTAGAGGGAGGGGTGAGGGGGAAAGGTCTCCCAGCACCAAGAGGCCACCGTCCTGGTCCCGAGCTCACACCCTGGCCCCGCCCTCAGGCTGGCGCCTGGAAGTCCTGGAGCCCCCGCGGGATGCGGCCGTGGGGGCAGGAAGGCAGGCCCACTTCAGCTGCACGCTCAGCGAGGTGGTGCCCGTGGGCGAGGCAACCTGGTACATCAACGGGACTGCAGTGCAGCCTGACGACGTGGACTGGATGGTGACCGCAGATGGCAGCCACCACACGCTGCTGCTGCGCCGCGCCCGGCCGCACCACGCCGGCGAAGTCACCTTTGCTGCCCGCGATGCCGTGGCCTCCGCGCAGCTCACCGTGCTGGGTGGGTGGCTTGGGTGCTGGACTCTCCCATGGGTGGGTAGGGTCGGAGGTTCCAGCTCCAGAAGCTACTGCAGGCTCTCCGTGTCCCTCCACCCAGGCGCACAACCCTCGCTCCCGGAGACAGGAGCCCAGGCACCTGTCTGCTCACAGGCCTGGGGGGTGATCTGTCCGAGCCCTCACTGCACCCCAGAATCAGACCCTAGGGCAGGAGGGGCTGTGCCCCATATGAGAAAATGGATACCAAACTGACCACCCTCCCCCGCAGGCCTCCCGGATCCCCCGGAGGACGCCGAGGTGGTGGGGCGCAGTGACCACTCCGTGACGCTGTCTTGGGTGGCCCCCACAAGCGATGGCGGTGGCGGTCTCTGTGGCTACCGGGTGGAGATGAAACCATCGGCCACTGGGGAGTGGCAGCTGTGCCACGAACTGGTGTCCGAGCCGGAGTGCGTTGTGGATGGCCTGGCCCCTGGGGAGACCTACCGCTTCCGCGTGGCGGCTGTGGGCCCTGCAGGCGCCGGAGAGCCCGTGCACCTGCCCCAGACAGTGAGGCTCGGTAGGTTGCTGCCCTGGTCCTGGCGGATAAGGGTGGGGGGTCCAGCCTGGAGCACTCGGCCTCTTTAAACCAGAAGAAGGTCGGCATGTCCTTACTGATGCGCGCATCCTCAGCAGAGCCCCTGGGACCTGCGCCCGCGCCCCTAGCTCTGGAGAGCCGGCAGGTGGCGGCCGGCCAGGATTTGCGTCTGGATTGTGAGGTGGTGGAGGCTGGAGAGGTTGTCTGGCTGAAGGGAACGGAGCGCATCCAGCCTGGGGGGCGCTTCCAGGTTCTTCGCCAGAGTGGGCGACAGACGCTGGTGATTCGGGACTTCTCAGCAGAGGACCAGGGCGAGTACCGCTGCAGCCCTGCCAGGGATCCCATCTCTGCTGCTGCCGTGGCCTTCCAGGGTGCGTCCTCCAGGGCCCAGCATGCGGGAGTGGAGGAGTGGAGGGAAACCCTGGGGTGGGGGGGACCCCCACAGCAAGGGGTCCACTTGGGGAGTTTGCCTCACACCAAGGGAAACTGAGGCTTGCTGGGGAGACGCACAGACCCTGCATGGCTCAGCCTCATGTCGGAGCCCATATCTCTGGCGTCTTAGGCTGCACCCCCCTCCCTGAATGTGATCCTGGCCATCACAGTGCTTGATACCCACTGCTGGTCCCCTTAAAGTCCTCAGGCTCCTGTGCTCTGAGTCCCCCTGCACTGAGTCTCCTCCCCCACTGCGTGTGAACCTCCCCATGACCTCTGAGCATCACCCCCCCTCACTCTGAGGACTGAGGCCTGAGCAGGGGAAGTTGAGGCCCAAGGAAAGTGGTTTGGAGCCTCTGAAACCTTGTAAAGGCTGTGCGATCAGAGCTCTCCAGAAGCCCAGGTGGACAGCAGAGGCCTATTGAGGGGAACCACAGTCGGCAGCCCAGTTCCCACCTGGCTGACCAGTCTCCTGCTGTCCACAGTGGTGCTGACACCAGGATCCAGAGATGAGGTCCCTGCACAGCCCAGCCTGCCTCCTGAGGCGGCCCAGGAGGGTGACCTGCACCTGCTGTGGGAGGCCCTGGCTCGAAAGCGCCGCATGAGCCGCGAGCCCACACTGGACTCCATCAGCGAGCTACCTGAGGAGGACGGGCGCCTGCAGCGCCAGCGGCAGGAGGCAGAGGACCTGGCCCCTGACCTATCTGAGGACTACTCCACAGCTGATGAACTGGCACGCACTGGTGAGGCCGACCTCTCACACACCAGCTCTGACGACGAGTCCCGAGCAGGCACTCCTTCCCTGGTCACCTATCTCAAGAAGGCTGGGAAGCCTGGCACCTCTCCACTGGCCAGTAAGGTGAGCCTCCATCGTGGCCTGCAAGGGAGGCTTGGGTGTCTCAGATCTTTACCACTCATTGTCCATCCATGCATCATCTTATTCACCCATTCACCATCCACCGACCCATCCATTCAGTAAGCCTTTGTCCATCCATCCGTCATCATCCATTTATCCATCCAACAGCCATCCACTTATCCATTCATGCATCTACCACCACCAACCTATCCATCCATGCACCTCCATTTATCACCATCTATCCACACATTCACCCATCTGCCCACCCATCCATCATTCAACCATCCATCCGTTCACTCGCTGTCCATAGGTCTATACCACCCATTTATCCATCATCCATACATACATTCATCCATCCATACATACATCCATCCATACATACATTTATTCATCCATCTGCCATCCACTTAACCACTTATCTATCCAAGGTAGTGCAGCTGCCAGCAGCGGAGGCAGAGTGGCCTGCTGGCGCTGGGATCAGACCGGGTTCTGCCGCCAGCCTACCCCGGAGGCCCCTGCCCATCCTTTCCCTGACCCAGGCCTTGGTTTCCCTACCCTATCTGTGCACACAGGTTGGGGCTCCAGCAGTCCCTTCTGGAAAGCTGCAGAAGCAGCAGAAACAGCCAACCACAGTGTGCCCGCCACCAGGAGACCTGAGTATTGAGGACCTCAGTGACCCATCTCTGGACAAGGCAGCCATGAAGATCCAGGCTGCCTTCAAGGGTTACAAGGTGCGGAAGGAGATAAGGCAGCAGGAGGGGCCTGTGTTCCGGAGCACATTTGGAGACACTGAGGCACAGGTGGGGGACACCTTACGTCTAGAGTGTGTGGTGTCCAGCAAGGCAGACGTGCAAGCTCGTTGGCTGAAGGATGGAGTGGAGCTGACGGATGGCAGGCACCACCACATTGACCAGCTCAGGGACGGCACCTGTTCTCTGCTGGTCGCTGGCGTGGGCCATGCTGATGCGGGCTGCTACACCTGCCAGGTGAGCAGCAAGTTTGGCCGTACGGTCCACAGTGCCCACGTGGCTGTCAGCGGGACGGAGAGTGAGGCTGAGAGCTCCTCTGGTGGAGAAGTGGATGACGCCTTCCGCCGGGCAGCCCGGCGGCTGCACCGCCTCTTCCGCACCAAGGGCCCAGCTGAGGTTTCGGAGGAGGAGATCTTCTTGAGCGCCGATGAGGGCTCAGGGGAGCCTGAGGAGCCTGGGGACTGGCAGACGTACCGCGAGGATGAGCACTTGGTTTGCATCCGCTTTGAGGCACTGCCTGAGGCCCGTCGGGCGGCCACCCACTTCCAGGAGATGTTCAACATGCTAGGCATTGGGGTGGACATCAGCCTGTTGGAGCAGGGACCCCGGGGGGTGGAGATACGCATCGCCAAGGTGGCCCTTGCCCCTGCAGTGCCTTTGGAGCCAGTGCCCAGCTTGCGGACCACAGAGGCTGGTGAGTCTGTGAGCCACCTGGAGTGGGATGGGGCGGGAGAGGAGAGGAGAGGCTGGTGCATGACCAGGGTCAGCTGAGAGGTCAAGGAGTTGGCTGGGTCCCAGCTTCTGGCTCTTGGCAGATGCTGTCCACTAAGGTTGGCAGAGCCCAAGTTTGTGGTGGATGGAGCTCCAGCTCCGCCCAGTTCTGCCTGTTATTGTCAGAGCCTCAGCATTCTCATTTGTGCACTGGCTATGGGAATGCTGACTTTTGTTTGTTTTTTTCTCCATGAGGGTTTGAGATGCAACCTGTATAAAAGGTGGGGTTCCATGTGGTCTGGTCTGCACCCCATTTCCTGCTCCAGCAACAAAAATTAATTAAAAAGCCACATCACTGTTTACTGTATGTCCCTAGAAATGGCAGAAGAGGTGTCCTTAACCCACAGTGTTGTGCCTTGAAAATTTCCCTCTCCATTCTTAGAGCGAGGCCTCAACCCTGGACTCCCAACCATAATGCCTTGGTCCTCCCTCCACTTCCCCTCCTCCAGGCCTCCTGTCTGCTGTCCCTCTGGCCACAAGGTGGCTTGGGAGCCAGGCTGACAAAGGGAGGACTCCCCTAGAGCCGTGGTCGGCAAACTGCGGCTCTTTGGCCCCTTGAGTGTGGCTCTTCCTTAAGCCTTAGGAGTACCCTAATTAAGTTAATAACAATGTACCTACCTATATAGTTTAAGTTTAAAAAATTTGGCTCTCAAGAGAAATTTCAATTGTACTGTTGATATTTGGTTCTGTTGACAAATGAGTTTGCCGACCACTGCCCTAGAGAATGGGGAGGAGGGAAGAGCTCAGAGAGCAGAGACAGTGCTGTTTTAGCCGCTTAGTCTGTGAGTGCTCTCCCTTGAATGGGGGCCTTGTGGGTCACGCGTGTGCACCGCTGCAGCCCAGGTGATTGGGCACGGGGGCTGCTGCTAACTTGCACACCCTACCTGTCCCTCCCAGCCCCAGTGTTCCTGACTGAGTTGCAGAATCAGGAGGTGCTGGACGGGTACCCTGTGAGCTTCGACTGTGTGGTGACAGGCCAGCCCGTGCCCAGCGTGCGCTGGTTCAAAGATGGGAGGATCCTGAAGGAGGATGACCACTACATGATCAGTGATGACCAACAGGGCGGCCACCAGCTCATCATCACGGCTGTGGTGCCTGCAGACATGGGTGTCTACCGCTGCCTGGCTGAGAACAGCATGGGTGTGTCCTCCACCAAGGCTGAGCTCCGAGTGGACTGTGAGTGTGGCCGGCCTGCTTTGCTGGCCTAGGGTGGGTGGCTCAGGAGTTCCTGGCTGGGAGGGGCAGTGCTGGGTTGGATGATGTCTTGTGGCTGATGGAGAGCTCTCTAGGAGCCTCTTGGAGTGGGGATAGGGGCCTTAACTCTTTGAGAAGTATCAGGGCTGAGGAGGGACCCAGAAAGGCTTGGAGGTGTCCTGGGGCATGGTGGGTGATTAATGGCACTGTGGGCAATAAGAAATATGTACTAGGTCTCATCCCCGGTTCCTGCTCAGAGCTCTTAAATCTCTTAAAATTCCGAAGTGATAAGTCACTAAAGCAGTGACTCCTGGAGGGCCTCTAGATGGCTTCAGGATGGAGGATGGTCATAGAAAAGACCACATCATGGTCCCTATAAATATGTCTAACTGATTTTTAAAAAATGTATTTTTTTAATTATTTCAGAGAGGAAGAGAGATAGAAACATCAATGATGAGAATCATTGGTCAGCTGCCTCCTACACATCCCCTGCTGGGGATGGAGGCTACAACCTGGGCATGTGTCCTGACCAGAAGTCGTACTGAGACCTCCTGGTTCATAGGTCAACGCTCAACTGCTGAGCCACACCAGCTGGACATGTCTAACTGATTTTTGACAAAAGTGCAAAAGCAATTGAGTGGAGTAAAGTTTCAAAGATGGTGCTGGAGTAATTTGGACATTTATAAGAAAAAAAAAAAGAACCTAGACCATATATGAAAATTAACTCAAAATGGATTACATGCGTAATGTGAATATAAAACTTTAGAAAAACAACAGGAGGAAATCTTCAGTACCTAGAGCTAGGAAAGATCTTTGTATACTTGACTGGCAAAAGAAAAAATTAGTAAAATGGACTTCATCAGAGTTAAAATCTTTTGCTGGTGTGGAGCAATGAAGTATTTCTTAAAAATTGATTTTAGAGAGCGGAAGGGAGAGAGAGAGACAGAGAAACATTGATGTGAGAAACATTAATTGCTTGGTTGCCTCCTTTATGCACCCCCATTGGGGATCAAACCCACAACCTGGGTATGTGCCCTGACCAGGAATTGCACCTGCCACCTTATAGTGTATGGGAAAATGCTCTAACCAAATGAATCACACTGGCCAGGGAGAGAGAATGAAATTCTACAGGCTGAGAGAAATATCCACAAACCATATATTTTGTGAAGGACTTTATCTAAACTATATAAAGAATGCTCAATTTTAAATAGTAAAAAAAATGCTTAAAAATCTAATTAGAACAGGAGCATGTGCAGAACTTCAGGGGAAAGGACACAGAGATGACAAATAAATGTGTCGAAGGTCTTCCACACATTAACCAACAGGAAAATGCAAACCAGGACCCTAGCAAAACATCCCTGCACACAATGGAATGACTAACATAAAAACTGTGCTGCCACCACATGCAGGTGAGGGGCCAGAGAAATGGGACCCTTGTGCACTGCTGGTGGGTGTCAGTGTAAGAAACATTCAAACCTGTACAGAATTTTTGTGAGTATTTGAACCAAACTGCCAGGATTTCAACAGATTGAGATAATGCTCCAGAGAATGGCAGTTTTACACCTTATTTTATACATTACAATCAAAAGAGACGTAAATGGGTTACATGAAATTCATTGGTGATAGATTAGGGAGAAGGGAGAAAGTAAGAGGGGGACCTCTGGGATTGGATACCAAGTAAAATGATAAACATATACATCTTTTAGGTAGGTTGGTACTGGTTAGTTAATAGTCAACAATTAACATGATAAAAGCAACAATGAGAGGATTTGTAGTCTCTGCTCTGGTGCATTGGTTGTGCCCTGAGGGGTCCAGAAAAAAGAGGAGTTACTCTGACATTCCAAAGGTATGTTATCGTAGATGCAAAAGACAATAGACAGGCTCAGTCAAGGTAAGATTGACTTTTGTGAGGGAAGATCCTAGCCTAGGACATGATTACCCACCATAAACTGCTTTTAGTTTAAAAGTTTTAATTTCAGACCATCCTTTGTGGTTACTTTAGGTCTTTGATTTTGCAAGACTGTCACACCTTCCCTGAGCTTGTCAGGTAGCATGTAGCACCTTTTTGTCCACATGGGAGTGGAAAATGGTGCAGCTACTCTGGATCATGGTAGGGAATTTTTTTATAGAATGAATCATGTACTTACCATATGACCCAACCATCATTTTGTTGGGTGTTTATTCAAGAAATGAAAACTCAAATTCATAACACAATCTATACTCAAATGCTCATAGTAGCTTTGTTTCTAACTAGCGGCCTGGTGCACAAAAATTTGTGCACTCGGGAGGGTCCCTCAGCCCTGCCTGTGCCCTCTCGCAGTCTGGGACCCCTCGGGGAATGACCACCTGCTGGCTTAGGCCCGCTCCCCGGGGGACTGGGCTTAAGCTGGCAGTCAGACATCCCTCTGGCAGCCCAGGAGCCCTCGGGGGATGTCCACTTGCCAGCGGGGAGCAGGCCTAGCTGCAGTTGGGCATCCTTAGCACTGCTGAGGAGGCGGAAGAGGCTCCCGCCATCACCGCTGTACTGGCAGCTGTCAGCCTGGCTTGTGGCTGAGCAGAGCTCCCCCTGTGGGAGCCCACTGACCACCAGGGGCCAGCTCCTGCATTGAGTGTCTGCCCCCTGGTGGTCAGTGTGTGTCATAGTGACCAGTAATTCCCAGTCGCTCTGCTGTTAGGGTCAATTTGCATATTACCCTTTTATTATATAGGATAGAGGCCTGGTGCACGGGTGGGGGCCAGCTGGTTTTGCCCTGAAGGTGTCCCCGATCAGGGTGGGGGTCCCGCTGGGTGCCTGGCCAGCCTGGTGAGGGCTGAGGGCCGTTTTCAGGCTGGCCACACCCCCCTTCAGGGTGGGGAGTCCCCCA